CATTTACACCCCCCACCTCCACACCTAAATCCACAGCCAATCAGCTTCCAACCCACATACACTAACACACTTAAACACTCAACCACTTTCCACATCCAATCAGCTTCCAAACCACATACACAAACACACTTAAACATTCATCCACTTTTCGCATCCACACCGGCGCCCACATCGACCTCTACTTTGTAACCTTATCCTCCGTCACTCTTTTAGTTTTAGGAGCTTAGTTGTTTTTGAGCTTTAAAGTCGCTATTTCAAACTATAATTTTATATTTAACCAATCCATGCAAGTGAAAATGTGACGCTCTCTTGTCAGAAACTCTCAAGTGACGTGTATTTCTAATTATAACGTCGAATAACAAGTGAATATGGAGTCTCGATTGATAATTTTTATTTAGGACGCAAAATTTGATAGATGATGGTGGAAATTATGTATGGTTTTTGGAAAAAATTCTAATAGTATCGATTTGAAAGACAAGAAATTTATGTTGAAAGACAGTTGAAATTGAACAACTGTTGTTGAAAGCTTCACTTGTGCTCTCAACTTACATATAAAAACATTTCATACTAATCAATCATTATTTTTATTTATCATTTGCTTTCGTAAGGGCGCTCTTAAACATCTGAACGAAATGATTTTAACTATACGCTGAAATTGTCCATCTTCATACCTGCACTAGCCAAAGTGTCAAAACGTGTGAAAGCATCGATTTACTTCATCATCATCAACTCCAACTTTATAGCGATTGAAACTACCAGTCTTAACAAGAATAGTTTATGTCATTTAAATCAGTATCATTGTACCACTTTTCAATGCGTATCTTAACATTAATGCTTACCTTAATTTGAATTTGTGTTGTAAAGAATGTAATGTTTACGCTTATTCGTTTTTAAAAAACTCTGAATATTATATAGCATCTTTTTATACACATGTTATTTCTATAATCCTTCAATAAAACAGAAAAAAAAACAAAAATTATCAAATACTAGAGAATTTCAAGTATTTAACTAAAATACGCTTTGAGGTTACATGTAATTCATTATTACTGTTTACCTGAAGGGTTTCTCTTTTGTTGATTTAGTGGCACTTCTTTCACAAAACTCTCTACTCGACTCGTTCTCTAAATAATTTTATTTCGTGTTGATATTATACAGCAACGGTAGTAATATTTGAATAAATACTACAAAAAAATACATCATTACCTACGCAGTAGTCAAATCTTTCTATATGTGCAACAGTGATTATTCATACAGCAACCAAAAGAAAAAAATATTTCAAACCTATAGACTACTTAGTATTATGAATAATCGTAAACATTTTCTTTGCACTCGCAGTATATTTCTGAGGTTTCTTATCAAAATTATACGTTTTCAAACACTTGGCATTCAATTAAGCACACGGTAGGATGACCATCTCAGCTACTCTTAAATTCTAAAATAGATTCTTATATAAGAGATATTTGGCAAACTATAAAATGAGTTTATCACAGTTTAATATATTAGTTGATTTACACGAACAAACTGTGAGCCACATTCATAATTCAGGTGATTTTGCTTGTACATAAAAAGCTGTTAGCGCAATCCCTTCAGGATTAAAATGTGAAACACGATTTACCTATTGTTATTAATTCCCCAAAACCTGTTCTTTTTTATGTATACTGGGCACATTCCATCAGCATTGCTTAATTTACAGAGTAGAACTTCGTAAATG